AGTAACTATATGAAATTGATGTGCACATAATATTTTCCACAACGACAATACTTCACTGGATAAACGTAACAATTCTGCGAACGCTTGTAGTGATCGACACTCTTCTTGACGATTCAGTACTGGAATCGTTTGCGATTTTCAAATATTTGGAGCGTTCTTTGTGCGTTACGAATAAAGTCCAGTAGATAAAAGATTGTAATCAGTTGCAAGCAATATGCCGCTATCGAGGAAGATTCACTTCATTGATGAAGTAAATATCAAAGTCGACAATAAAAGAAACCTTTATCGTCGACACTGCGTTGGTTGGATGGATTTGAATCTCGTCGAGACACCAACGACTGCTGATAGGTTTGTTGTGAGTTTGTTATTAGAGCATATTCATCGATTGCTTTTTGGAATGCACATAATTGTGCTGATAACCAGTCCAGTTCATCCAATGAAAATATACTCGATATCTAAATTGAATCAATGTGATAATTATAATAACAAATCATCCATCAAAATATCAAAAAATACCTCATTCTCACTGATTTTGTAGCACAATGGAGACGTCCAAAGATTCGATACAATACGTGAGAAATAAACATAAATAGCATCGTGTCTGTAACTCGAACGGGTCTGAAACACGCAAGTTGATACAAAAAATTAATTCATGATGATCATAATATCAATAAAAGCGATAACAATAAATACCGTGTAAGGTAATAGAGGAGAATCAGTGGCGTATTCATCCATCTGGGAAATATATGAATTGGGTGGAGGTCCAATCGTTCTCGGTGGCGAATTCGACATCATAAATGAGAACTGTTCAGGAGTTGAGGTTCGCAACGGAGCTAAAAGGATGGCATCGGTTAATACTGGTCGATTGATTCGTTAGAGGAAGATCTGAATCAAGCTTGAAATGAACTCACAACGAAACGTGCAATCAGCCACTGTCGATATGTTGCGAGCTTGCGGCCAGTCTGGTGACGACAGACGTCCTGCCGGAGAGCGCATGCCCATTGCTGAAATGCCATTCATTGGCATCTTCCGTTGTGATCCCAACGATGAAAATATTCTCAACGCCGCATCCTACAAATATCCGTCCTACATTTAAACATCAAGGGAACATTCGATGTGAATGGTGAATACTTGAAACGATGCTTCACAATTCCTGTAATGGACAATATCAAACTAACTTTAATAGCGAGATCAGCTGCGTTGTCAGCACATAAAATGATCAGAGCCATAACACACGTATTGATGGCACCGTGCAATTGCAAAAAGTAGTTCGCTTGTGGTGAATCCGCACCGAATTGATGCAATATTTCACGTAATATATCTACTGGTGATCTCTGTTCAACTATTGAAATTCCCTTCAACAAGAAACGTTTAAACATTAATCCAATTAATCCTCTATAAGATTATCAAAACATCAAACGATCAATTAATTGTTTCATGCATAATATGGTACATCTATAAAGATAATCATAATGATAATAATGGGAGAGCAATATTAGAAATAATAATCATAATTAAAATAACCTTTTCGTTGAGAATGACAATCCTTTCGGGCGGATCACGATGCTGAGATATAATATACGGCGGACGTACATCAACGCTCCCTTCCACTGGTAACTGAAAGTGAGAGCGAAACTGTACTTTCGATCTTAAAAACATAAAATTGTGAAATAATTTCATTTCAGCTTGACCTCCTCCGCTAAAAAGTTCTTTGCTTCCATAAAAGAAATACCTAAAATTTATAAGATCACTCATAAAGTTACCACTAACCGCATTCGATAACGTTCGCTCCACAGCAAGTACGGTTGTTGTGAACGAAAATTTTGTCTGAAAAAAAATTCAGGTTTTGAAACAAATTTCTCCTCATTTCTCAGTGTGTTACTCAACAACAATTTCTCTGTTTCACAAAATTTTCGAAAACAATAATACGAAAAACGAATATGAAACACTTTTTACAAATTCCAAACGAATACATCGTTCTTCTAAATGTATTCGTGTAATTCTATCATTATAAATAAATTCATCGTCAAATAAACATTTTGCTTCGGCTATGTATCGTCACAACAATACATTATCGCACGACATAATAATCAAATTTAAATTTACCAAGTTCTCCATTAAATAATCTTGCGCAGATAAATTCGATGATGAGAAACAAGTTACTGTTGAGGCCGCATCAACTCCGCACTCCGCCACCATCACGGACACTTCTGCAAAATTCTCTACTTTATACGATTGGCGATTCGATTCCATTTCAATATTCAACAATATATCATTGCGATAAGATAAATAAACAAGAATAATAATATTAATGTAACGACAATAACAACGAAAATGCTAGTACATCAACACTAGTAACGATAATCCTGACAATAAGCAATCACAAGAAAACCAACCATGAGAAAAGAGTGAATCATAAACTGTGAAATACGGATTGCCAATTCCGCCAGCATTATATCCAGGTGGGATTCGGACATGACGAAGTCTGAGATCAGTTGGTCGAATATCAGCCTTAATCAATCATTCTTTTAACCATCAGATGCTTCAAATACGATTATATGCAAAGCAATGCGTTCTAAATTCATGCAAAGTGATTTTTAACCTTCATTTTGATTAGCACTAAAAAAAAGAATAAACTGAAGAATTTGTTTTCGTCTTATGCGGACTTCATCCTGCGTCTACGAGAGTTCATTTGCCGGAAACGTCAAACGAACACAGCGAATAAACGAATGAAACAATCATCAATACCGTTTCGGGTAACGATGGAGGCGAGACACCGTAAGGTGTCGATATTAGAGCGCTGATTGGGGTTGGTGGTAAGCATGTGAAGTATAAACGAACACCTTTGCGTGTTGTTGCTACCTAAAATACGTCATTTAACATTCACCATATTTCTTAGTGAACATGTTTCTTAGTTGTTCTCAGCACTTGAATAGAGAATTTGAGCTACAACAACAATGACGGAACAACGATAAAATTTCGATGAAAGTTATTCTTATGAAATCCGCATTCTGATGCTGAGTCCATACCTTGTTCAACGTTCAATACTACATCCGAATAAGTAACATAATGCGATGAGGTTGTTGATAAATAATAACAATCGTTGTGGTTTCGAAGGAGTAAAAAGGAAAATGCTGAAACATTCAACAAACCAAATGTAAATATTGTGAACGAGTCGACGGTATTGCATTGATACTGACAATATCGGTGAAGAAGGCACGATCCACCGTTCGACACTCATTTGATGCTCTATCCTTCAACACAGCTCACTTGTTATTTCGAATACATCAATCGGATTATTGACGAAAACATATCGTTAACATTTGACGAGATGATTCGAATAATCAAAACAACAACAATATAAATGCTGAATAATGAATGAAAAACAAACTTGAATTTGTGCGTGACTCAACGATGCCACTTTTCGCATTTCATTGCCGTCATTACCCAAGTCAAACACTTGAATGGAACCATTCTCTGATAAAGTATACAGGATATGGCGAGTATCGTCAACACTGAGACGTGCAATCTTCTCTAAAATTCAGTTTTTATGAACGAATATCAATGGAAATACAATGATTTAACTTTAAATTGAAAAATATTTTCAAGAATACAACTCATTTAACCTTCTTTGCCCGTGATGAGGGAGAGTGATGGAAGTAAATAGTTGAGTAAACGCTTTGAATGATTCACTTTACGACATTTCCGTTGAAACCAACCTTTATCCTACAACAACAACAATCACATATTCGAGTAGATGATCCACTCAAAAAATTGATAACTATGAAATTGAAACTGATCTGCATATATATGAAATTGCATCGCAACTAATTATCGATATCTGATCACTTGAGAATGTAAAATTAAATGTTTAAATTAGAAAAGTTGAAAATTATCGATGAAAATTCATGATGATTGAATCTACAACTGACAATAATCAGCGATAAAAAAGAACTGCATCAATCCCTTGATTCATAATATTCCAGGAAATCACCTGATAATCCAGTTCATAGATACACTCTTCTGATGCAAAGAAAATACGACCGTCACGTGTGGTCACCATATCCGATACAGTGCTTCCCTCTAATGGTATCTGAAACTTATACTTTCAAGTAAAACACTCGAATCAACTTCCATGAATCGCAAAACAAATTCAGACAGATCATTTCAAAATAAATTTTAATATAACCAACTTTGAAAAGGGCATCAGGTAAAAGAAACATCTGAGCACTTGAAACATTCACTGAATCAACAGCTATTGTCATGTTGTGTTCATTCGTAAAACTCGCTGCCAATAAAAGAATGTCTCGTGTCGTCGCCACCACAAGAACGTGATGAACAAATTCCTGAAAATATATTCTGATCTAATTCACAGATTTAGCTCGACTGACAACATCTTCATTCGCTTTTGCAAGCAATACATCATTTCAGTTAACACTTGAATTCATTTACAATAACGATTCAAACGAACTCTCTTATTCATAATAAAATACAACTTACATGAAAAACGCCAGTCTTTGGTTTTGCAACTAACACCTTAGTAATTGTATTCGGGATACCATCGAAATATGCCAAATCAGAACTGAAATTGATATAAAATGAGGAATACATTTTCCAATGAAATTTATCAAAGTACCACCAATCCCACTACAACGGAAAATTGATTTAGAAAATCCCATTGAGACACCCACTTCTCCTCGTAGTTCCATATGTACAGATCTGAATCCATCGTCATATAAGCACGACTGATCTCGGGCAATATACCAATTGTATAAACGCATTCCGTCTCTTGAAAATAAACCATTTTTACGGCTCAATTACATAAGATTATGAACTGAACAGATTAATAAACGTTTCATCAGCAATCAAAAACGAATTCTTTGGTAAACGAATATACCATTGAGTTGGTCGATGAGCTCCTGTGGAACAGGACGTGGTCTTTGCGAGCAAAATTCGGCAATATCCAGATCTTTTAGTGAGGGATAATCGTCAATTGACAATCCGGATACTGTTACTTTATCTGAAAACAATTGGCTAGAACAGTTTAAAAATTAACAATTGGTACCCATGAAATGAATAATTTTGCATTTGAATTCAGACTGAGATGTTCATCGAATCGCCAACTAACCAGGTTGATTCGGGTCAAATTTGAGTTTGAAGAGAAGATCAGCGAGTTCGCGATCTTTCCACAGACAACGTATCACCGCATTTGATGAATTCTGCAGAGGATCACCTTTCGCAGGTGAATGCTGGGCCATTCTATCCTGAAATCAACTACACACCACAATTATAATCACTTCACAATCGACTGCTATGACAAATTCCAGTGTTATTCTATTATCAGTATGCAAACTACTAGCATTCGTTCGCAATATGCATACTCTAATATGTATGCATATCCTGTAAGATATATTCCACGACAGAGAAGGAACTCAGGAGGGTGGAAGTGTGGCACTACTGCAGATAAAGGAATGTTTGGGCAGGAAGAGAGGGTGTTCATAACGGGAACTTGCTCCTAACAAGGAAAAGTCTCAAAGAAAAAAAAGATCACTTGGACAGGTTTTTGGCCCGAAAAAAATACGTTCGAAATGCCATCTGCTCACAGTACATTTTTTACAAAATTTGTAAAAAAATTCCGCCTTGCATGAGTGAGAATCAAATCAAGAAGATGATCACATCAAAAAAAAATTGCCGCAATCCTTAAATGGCGTCGTCGATGACAACAAATCAAACCCCGACATTCTACTCAATGATGCGGCACGCATTATCATAGACTTTCGCAGTGCAAATTGTCTGAGTGGCACATTGTCGTAGACCCGTTGAATGAGAGTGTGCAGTAAAGTGCCACAAAAATTTTCGCGCTTCTTTGAATGAGTGCAAAGATATTGTGTGTACTGTTAGTTAAGACGTTTGTTGTCGATTTCGATTAAATTTTTAGAGTTGCTTGAAGGTGCGTACGCAGGAAATGGGCTGAATGGAGTGTTCATTGTTGTCACTGTATTGTTTACAATGTAAAGTTCTAAATATGGTGGTCGCTGTGGATTTGTTCGATAACATTAACTGCAGTCTTTGCTCATTATTGATCGAGAAAAATTACCGGTTTACGACTGTCGGTTGTTTTCAACAGTTCCTTGGAGCTGTTGAAAACAACCAACAGCCGTAAACCAGTAATTCCGTTAGCCACATATTCTCGTGATCAATAGGAGTGTGTTTTTAACCTCTCTAGTAATTATTGCGTCAAGCCTCTCTCCCTAGTAATTATTGGAAAGTATCCGTGAAACCGATCCTAGAATTTTATGCATGCAGAAAACTTCGAATTTATTATCGGAATATTCGAAACGTTTCCGTGTTTTAAAAACTAGATTGCCCTAGATTGTTACGGCCGATAGGTTGTTATTGTTTACACGATAGTTTTTGACNCTGACGTAATAATTCGTGACTCAGTGATGACTAATTTGAGAAAAAACTGGTCCAGGCCCGGCTCCGCGTTTTTAAAATATTGGGCTCCGTCTTCAGCTCCAAAAATTCCTCTGCTCTGCTCTGGCTTCAGATCTCTTAACAAACAATCGTACGGATCTTAGCTCCGGTTACTGAATGTTGCTGTGAGGTTTTTTTGAGGGAGCTAAAAAAACTTCGTTTGGCTTCGGAACTTAGCCATCGCTGTTGGTGATCTGTTTATTCATTTCTTTTCAGAATGAAAGTAAACAGTACGGTAAGAATGGTTGCTTGGCTGTAAAGGTAGAGCCAGTAGGGAATGGACCGCTGTTCACCGAGATGTTCGTCTTTCAGCGTATCTTGAGAGAGGATTCCCTTAATGAATGGGTGAAAAAGAAAAGTATTCATTTTCATGTTCTCATATATCAAACACTTACTGATCGCACTCATGAATCTGTTATATTATCACATCAGTATTTTCATTCGGAGTATTCCAGTAGGAACGAGTTTCCTAAATGATTCCAGTGCACAACTCCA